TCCCTGGCGCGCCCGGTGGCGCGTTGACGCCTAGCCGCTGCCGCCACCCCTGAGGAGACTCAGGGAGCCGGGGACGCGAGGGGCGGCCCACAGCCGTGGAGCTGCAGCGCCGGCTTCGAACCCAGGTCTGTCGCACTCTAGATTCCAAACCCCTTCCCGGAGACACTGTTTGTCTCTGTCGTGGGCATTGTCAGTGTTAGGTCAGTCATGGGACTTGAACTCGGGGCCTGGGCGCTGTCCCTAGATCCATTCTGCCCTAGGCGAGCGCCCTACGACTTCGAGCCGCAGCTCCATTTCCGGTTTGCTGATGATTCATTGGAGGTGAGAGTCTCAAGGACTTTTCTGTCCAGGCCGACCTCAGTCCTCAGAGCTCAGCTATCGTTACAGGTGTGTGAGCCACCCATGCCCGGCTGAAGGACTTCTGCATGCTAATGAGTGTTAATAGCATCACAGTTTTAATTGCAATTCCCAAATGACATATGATGTTGACACTTTTTCCATATGCATATTTACCATCTCAGTAACTCCTTTAGTGTGGTATCTGTTCAAATCATTCCCCTCCCCCCCACACACACAGTTTTTAGACCAGATTTTCTTAGTGTTGACTATGTATTTATGTATTTTAGGTAACAGCTGGTTTGGATATGTTTGTCCACACAAAAACTAACGTTGAACTTTGATTCCCAGTATAATGGATTACTTTGGGAGGTGGAGGCTTTAAGAGGTGATTTGGTATTTAAGAAAGATCCATTCTGTACCAGGTTAAGTCTCACACAAATGAGTAAGTTCTTACTTCTGAAGTACTGTATCAGTTCCTGTGAAAGTGGATCCACCTGAATGAGGGTTTTATCTCCTTCATAGATCCCAGCTGCCCTTTCCCTCTCAACTATGAATTGAAGCAGTCTTGTACTGCTTCACAAGGCTCTCACAATACCTTGCTTTTGGACTTCTCAGCATTCTAAACTTTGAGCCGTTGTAAAAATGATATTTTGAAAATATCAACTGTAAATATTAATATGTAGAAAATCCATTTTACATCCTGAAATCTTGATTAACTCATAAGTTTCCATAAAGTTTCCTTTACTATTAAACCAACCCTGTATTCCTGAAGGTAGTCCTAGTTTGGAAGTGTCCTGCAAAGGCCCTCAAGGAGCTATTTGAGAGGTGGTAGAACTTTTGGCAGGTGGGGACTAGTACTAGGAAGTTAGGTCATTGGGGGGCTAACCTTGAAAGAAATATTATGAAACCCTGACCCTTGCCCATTCCTTGAAGTGAAAAGGCTTCTCTGCCACACTTTCCCACTGTGATGTACTGTGCTATAGGCCCCAGACAACAGGGCCAAGTGACAGTGGAGTCAGGCTTTGAAACTGTGAGCCAGTAGTAGTTGTTGTGGCTACTGGCTCTAGGGCTTGAACTGGGGTGTTGAAGGGGGGGAGTCCTTGTGCTCTTAGCTTGCTTTTCTTTCTTTCTTTCTTTCTTTCTTCCTTCCTTTCTTTCCCTTCCTTCCTTTCCCTTCCTTCCTTCCTTCCTTTTTTTCTTTCTTTCTTTTTGTCAGTTATGGGGCTTGAACTCTGCACCTGGGTGCTGTCCCTGTGCTCTTCAACTCAGCAACAGCATGACTTCCAGTTTTCTAGTGGTTTATTGGAGATAAGAGTCTCACAGACTTTCCTGCCCTGGCAGGCTTTGAACCACTATCCTTAGATGTCCACCTCCTGAGTAGCTAGGATTACAGGCATAAGCCACTGGGGCCTGGTGCTCAGCTTTCTTGCTCATGACTTGCATTCTATCACTTGAGCCATACCTCCAATCCAGCATTTTGCTCACCTGAAATCTTACCACTAAAGAGTCTGGGGCAGGAGAATTGAGAAATTTAAGCCCAGCTTAGGCTACATGAGAGAGGGAGGGAGAAGTCTACCTAGAAAGAGAGTAGAGATAGATCAAACTAGAGACAGAGGAGAGGAGAGAGGGGAGAGAGATAGAGACGGGAGCCAGGCCCCGGTGGCTCACGCCTGTAATCCTAGCTACTCAGGATCTGAGGATCTACTCAGATCTGAGGATCACAGTTCAAAGCCAGCCCGTGCAGGAAAGTCTTATCTCCAATAAACCATCAGAAAACTGGAAGTGGCACTGTGGCTCAAGTGGTAGAGCACTCACCTTGAGCTGAAAAGCGCAGGGACAGCTTCCAAGCCCAGAGTTCAAGCCCCATGACTGACAAAAAAAAATGACAACAAGAAGAACAAAGTTTGTTTTTATAACAGACTCTCTTTACGGGTAACCAATTTATCGACAAATGGATTAACTCATTCATAAAGGCAGACATAATCATCTCAAAGTTTCCACCTGAGCCAGGCACCAGTGACTCATACCTGTAATCCTAGCTACTTAGGAGACTGAGACCCCCCCAAAAAATAAAATAAAAATAAATAAATACTTTTCAATTTAATAGGGTCTTCTCTATTATTATTTTTTTTTTTTTGGTTAGTCATGGACCTGAACTCTGGGCCTGGGCGCTGTCCCTCAGCTCTTCAGCTCAAGGCTAGGTCTCTACCACCTGAGCCACAGCGCCACTTCTGGCTTTTTCTGTTTATGTGGTCCTGAGGAATTGAACCAAGGGTCTCATGCATGGCAAACACTCTACCACTGAGCCATCTTCCCAGCCCGATCTTCTCTATTTTTATTTGTTCATGCTAACAACTTGGAAGGCAGATTGACTTGACTTGAAAATAAATCCAATTATTTGTATAAATAATCATTTGTTATATTTACATGGAAGTTAAATTTTTCATAATTGAACTTTCCAAAATAAGTTCTGCATGATACACAGTACAAAATGAATATAGCTTAATAATTACATTAACTACTTATAATAAATATATAAACAATATTTTATCTCTTTATAAAGATACATAATGGGAATATTTAAAAAAATTTTAGTGCTTGTCAACATGGAAAACATTTTGTAAAAAATAACTCCTTTGTATAACTGAAGATAATAAAACATTAAAAAGAATAAAGAACACAAGGTAATTTTTGTAAAGAAAAAATTAAAAGGGCCATATATAGTGGTGCATATCTGCAATCTCAGCATTTGAGAGGCAGAAGCAGGAAGACCAGAACAATTAGACCAGTCTGGGCTGTACAGTAAGACTCTGTCTCTCCTCCCCTCTACCACCATAAAAAGTAAAAGAAAAAAATTCCATTCTGCAAAATCATTAAACTGCTATTTGTTGGAAATTCTTCACCAGTGCAAATTCCATTCTGAGTCATTCAATCTTCACTAAAGACAAACACTATCATATATTGTACTCCTTCCATAATGGAATGAAAATGTGTAACCACATACACAAAAAGGAAGAACAGTCGAAGGAGAAAAGGAACAATAATTCATCAGCTTAGGACTATTTTGAGTCAAGGCTGTTAAAACAGTCCTACTTTAACTCTTCCCAAATGGTAGTTCAACATTATCATCTTATGAGAAGAACCCTGTATAGCTTTGCACATAAGAAGAGGGGCTGGGAAGGTGGCTCAGTGGCAAAGCGCTTGCCTTGCATGCATGAGGCCCTGGGTTCGATTCCTCAGCACCACATAAGCAAAAAGAAAAAAGGCAGAAGTGGCGCTGTGGCTCAAGTGGTAGAGTGCTGGCCTTGAGCTGAAGAGCTGAGGGACAGTGCCCAGGCCCAGAGTTTAGGCCCCATGACTGGACCCTCCCCCCCAAAAAAAAGAAGAAAAGAAACTACAATAGCTTTTTGTTATGTTTTTTCAATAATTAAGTCATTTCTGACCACTCTTAAGGTGCTGGGCCAGGCACTTTATGGGAAACACCTGATTAGAAAGAGCTCATGGAACTAATCATCCAGTAAAGTAACAACAAACATGCACAATCACAACCCAAGGTAAGTTGTCAGAACAGATCAAAAAGCTATCAGAGCGCAAAAGGTGGCAATATTTTGTAGTAGTGAGTCAGCCAATGCTTTATGGCAGCACTAGGTCTTGAGACAGCTCTGGGAACACAAAGATGGGAGTGGTGGGGGAATAAACAGAAGAGGTGGGGGTGGACAGGTGCAGGATTGAGCAGTGCCTGAATAACCCTTCTGGACTGCTTCTCACTTTTGGTGTGTCCTCAAACTGGCTCATTCCTACCTTCCTCTCTCCCCATGTGCTTAGAACACCATATTATCTACACCTGCCCTTCCATATCTCTAGCCAGAGTTAGCCTTCATCATTGGGGCTTAGTTTGGCTGGCACTTCATACTCACCTGAGCTCTGTATCATAACCTCATGGTTCACTCTTAATATGCTTGTCACACCAGCAGTTAAGAATAGGTTGTTTAACATCTACCCTATTTGATCACATATTCCATGAAAATAGGAATCTTTTTCTGTCTTGTTCTTCAGGCTCTGGGTCTTAGCATAATACCAAAAATGATGTTTTCACCTCGTCTCTGCAGTTTGGCCTGCAGTTTGGTGAGGTCCAATGTAGTACAGTCTGGTGACTGTGGCTGCTGCTCACTTCAGGAGCCATAGAAGGGACAGTAGACATGTCCCTACAGTCTATTTACTGAAGTAAATAGAATGTAAAATTGGAGGTTCTTCAAAAGGGATGCAACTGCCGGGCGCTGGTGGCTCACGTCTGTAATCCTAGAAAACCAGAAGTGGCGCTGTGGCTCAAGTGGTAGAGTGCTTGCCTTGAGCTGAAGAGCTGAGGGACAGCGCCCAGGCCCAGTGTTCAAGTCCCATGACCAAAAAAAAAGTTAAAATGGAAAATCTAAATTAAGCAAAATTCCTCTATTTGTCTTTAATCCCTGCTTCAAGATTAACACAGACACCAAAGAAGTAGAATAAAAGTCTATAAAGAACTAAAAAAAAAAACTAACATACAGTGTTTCTGAATCCTGATCACTCAGGAACAAATCACCAGACTGCTTCTCATGAGAAACACTCTCCTCCTAAATAGTCACAAATGAGACAACTCTCAGTTGTCTAGTTTACTGGAACTACTAATTTTAGAAATATCTTCAGAGTTTCAGTTTCTTAAATTGGAATATCTAAAGTAGAATTAAGCAAGATCATTGATGACAAGTGTGGGTAATTCTGTTCACAGGGCTTAGGTACTTAAAGAACTGGTCATCCTTTGCTAGTATTTAAGTAACTGGTGGGGGAAAGTTTGATTTACAATTTCAAAAATAACAACTGCGAGCAAATTGAGGTTATCCATAACACAAAGAATTCATGGGAATGTGAAACATTTCCCTCCTTTTCACCAGCTTTTCTTTAAGAGCACCTGAACACAGTTCTAAAGTTACCTAATAAGACAATTAAGCATCTTTTCTCAAGCCAATGGAAAACCCCTGAAACTGACTTTCCTCATAGTTTACCCTGGAACAGAGAAGGCATTACCTGTACAGGGGAAGGCACTATCTCCTTCTCATTTCCCATTGGTTGTACTTCTGTTTGCTGAAGAAGTATATCACAAAGGGCCTGGGCCGCAGCATACATAGCATTGTATATACTGTATTCTCTTCAGACATGGCCATGTCAAAGATGTGCAGAGGTATCCATTCCAAGGAGGAATGTTGATAGTTCTCCATGTTACAGTTAGACTCAGAATGGGAGCAATTAAAACAGAAACCACAATTGGCAAGGTAAAAGTCTTCTGAGAACTTGGAAGGGTTAACTGCCTTGATAAAATCTGTGAATCCAGAAGTGGCTTCATGATGGTGTGAAAAAATGAGAAATGCATGGAACAAGTCTAGGGTGAAATTCCTCCTCATGGTTAAATCCCACTCTGAGTTTATGATATAAACATTGCCTTTTATTAAAAATTGCTCAGTATATACCACATTAAGTCTATACAAGGAGTCATTTCCATAAGTAAATACATTGAAGACAATTTATTAATCTGGTGATTGCCATGATACTTAATACATATGACAGGGCATAGATTGGGATTAATGGCTCAAAGCTACAGAGACTTTGTTCATGGAAGTTCATCTCTTCTCCCAAATTCTGGGAAGAATCTGCAAACCATTCAGATCTTGTGAGATCATCATCCCCATCTACTTCCAACTGAAGTGAAGCAGCACTGAGACCATAGCAGTGGCTAGGGAAGGAAACTTGCTGTATTTACTCAGGGTAAGATCAAAAGGCCCAAGATGTAACTTCCGCATATGAGAGAAACACTGCAGACTGACTTAATTTTATCCCATTTTAAGTCATTACCTACTTCCCAATTGCTTTCTACAAAATTATTGACCAGGCTTTTCACTCCAGATATTCCCATTGTTCCAATCTCTCCCCATCTTTTTTTTCCCCTGAACACTGTGCATGTAGATTTCCCACTGTGTTGGAGTACTTACCCACTGATAAAATATTTGATTAGTTCAGAAAAAAAAGATGTTCAATAGAATACTGAGGAAATAATTCTGGTAATAGTCTTTGTGTGTTACTGATACAAATGTTTTCACAATTTGGTAGGTTTGCTTAATTATGAGGCTTTTACTTTCTTAGGAACTTACTATCTTAGTCATGTTCAATCAAGAGCATTGATGTTTAACATAGTGTGGGTGACTCATGACTATAATCCTAGCTGCAATCTCCATGCTGAGACTGGGAGGATCAAGATTTGAAGCTAGCAATCAATTTGAAGCAGCCTGTGAGTTAATTTGAAGCAGGCTGTAAGACTCAGTCTCCAATTAACCATTAAAAATGCCAAATGGTCACAGGTAGAGCATCAACTGTGAATGAAAAAGCTGATTGAGAGCAAAAAGTCCCAGCTCTGAGTTCAACACACACACACACACACACACACAAACACAAACACTCTCTGAAGTTTTAGGAAAACTCAGTATATGCCTAATATTTTATTTTATTTATTTATTTTTTTTTTTTGTCGGTCGTGGGGCTTGAACTCTGGGCCTGGGCGCTGTCCCTCAGCTCTCCAGCTCAAGGCAAGCGCTCTACCACTTGAGCTACAGCGCCACTTCCGGTTTTCTGGTGGTTTATTGGAGATAGGAGTCTCATGGTCTCTCCTGCCCGGGCTGGCTTTGAACCGCGATCCTCAAATCTCAGCCTCCAGAGTAGCTAGGATTACAGGCGTGAGCCACCAGCGCCCGGCTATGCCTAATATTTTATGTGTAAAGCCTAGTCACCAATCAGTTAATTTTATTTCTCTACCCCAGAATAAAAGGATTTAAACTGAACCTATTTAATCAGTGTATAATTTTGTTCCCTACTGCAGCATCCCAGTACTTCAGCACCAAATTTATATCAATTAGAAGGGACAGTGCCTCAAACTAGTCAGTGCATTATTTCAGGCTTATTGAATTGCTACTAAAGGAAATCATTAAATCAGTGTATAAATTAAAGACTGTCTCCTACTCTGAACTAGATCTGAATGACTTGCATCTTATAAGTACTAGCAATATTTTATTGTAAAGATTAAAAGAATATACTAAAATGCTTTGGTTAATGAAATCTGTTTTTAACTATACATTACTGACATTTGGAAAGAAACAATCACTTAAATGAAAATTAAAAATAAAAAGCCTATGTTTAAAACATGGCCTTTATTAATACTGCCTGCTGAGCTCCATTTTTATTTTACATTGAAATACTTCTGCTTTGCAAAGAAAAGACAGAAAAGGTCATTTTACAAGAGTACTTTTTGTTTTTAATTCTCTGAGAAAATGGAAGGAATCTGAATCACAAGTTCACAATGTGGTAAAATGAAATTAAGAAACAATGATTTCAGTAATGCTATGCCATCACTAGTGTTCAGCTTTAACTCTGCTCTTGTAAATCAGATCCTGATATACAGTCTAGAGCATCTAGGTTATTTCTCTACAGCATATTAAACACAGAAAAGGAGGTTTTAAAAAATCCTTTCAATGTACAAACATGAATTTAAAAATTGCTTTTAAAAAATCACCTTTTTACATAATGTATATGCAAAACTGCTAAATACATGATTTTGGAAGAATTATTTACAAAATGTATGTCTGTGGAACAATTCACAGACATAGCATACATAGTTGCTTTACTTAGTGTTGCATCTCAACTTTGGGAGATATAAACTTATTCGGCAGTATAGCTAACACAAAAGCTGTGACAAAGTATCTTAAGGGCAACCAAAAATTTGATCTTCAAACAGTTTAATTACTAGGACTGCCAAAGTTTCTAAAGAAGGACATACTTTAATGATCCAGATGCCCATTTGCAGTTCTATTGTTGAAGGACTGAGACTGACTTCCTTGAGTACAGGAAAGGCTGCTGAGTGCACCCTCCTGCAAAAGGAACAGCTGAGAGCTATTGCCATCCAAAGAGTGAAGTAACCTAGAATTTTCTTTTTTTCAATTTTATTAATATTTTAAAAAATACATAAAAATACAACATCCAATGTCTGAATAAATATATTTAACAAGTTGCAAGATAATACCTTATTTTACACAAAAATTTCAGCTTTAGAAATCTTGTTAAATAACTTCATTGTTGTTATATATTTCATTTTTGTATTTTGTAACAAAATAAAAACTCTGAAATTACATAGAAAAAAGACAAAATAGTTTTGTCAAGGGATAAGATAGTCCACTGAAAACTTCTTCACAATTCCACTGTAAACATTAATAAACATTAAAATATTTGCATAATTGTGTGCTCAAAAGTCCTATAAAAAGTGGAAGACTTATTACAACTGTAGTTTTCAGTTAACTACACTTCCTTTCACAACTTATTTTGTCCCATTTACACCTTTAAACCTGGGCACACTGCTGAACATATACTTTGGCAGTTCTAAATAGCAAGTGCTTCCACAAAATATTTTTTAAAAATAATACAACATCAACAACATAACAACAACAAAAAAAAAAAACCCCACAACTTAAACCTCCTACTCAATACATCTTAGTGAAAGTGCAGCAGTAACTATTCAGCCAGATAATATTTTGGTGTTTTATCATGTGCACTTGCTTATCTATGATTCCTATAACTCCTGAAAGCTTTATTATACAAATTCAAATTTGCTAAGTGCCCTTTTTTTCTATATCACAAAAAATGGAAAAAATAAAGAAGAAAAAATTATGACAAATATGGCAGGCTGCCTAACCTTCAATTATTTATCAGCTTATTTTTTGCAACAAGAAAAAAAGAGAGAGAAGGGAAGAGATACAATCCAGCCTGGAAAATATACAGGATATACTTAGCAATGTCAAACCAGTTGAGTGCTTTCTGTGGTTGTATTTCAGGGTTTGGGAATTAATGTCCATGGCAGCAAACTGCTGAGAAAGCAGGTAAAATGTTTATCACCTACATTCCACAGCAAGTACATTTTGTGGGGGAGATGATGATGAGGGACTCATTCCAGTGTCTGATGAAGCTGATGACATGGAGGCTCCAGCATGAGACACTGTGGAATCAACACAACCATGTTAGACTCAAAAAAATATTACGCAAAGGCCAATAGCAAAGGCCAAAGGCAAATAAGAATCTTAACATTATTCACAGGCCTCATAAATGGTACACAAAGAAATAGCAAGTTGTCAGTAAATACTGTGGTTCAATGGAGTGGAGTCAATGGTTGGTCAGTTAAACAGCTTATCAATTGAAAAGAGGCATCACAGGACAGACTGTATGCTTATTTAGCATGAAGCTTAGCTCAAGCATCACAATAAATAAGTGAACAGAAGAAGAAACAGATACCACACAAAATGTAACTCTTAAACTCCTACTTGAAAGATTCCAGAGAAAGCAAATTTGGCTTATCCCAAATCAGAGGTCAAGCTAAGATGTTTTAATAATAGGGAATTTCTGTCATATCTCTGAGTTACAGACACCTAAGCCAGAGAATTTCTAGTTTCTATCAGATCAGAATCATGAGATTGGGATGGAAGTATAGGGATGTGATTAGGGGGAAAAAAATCATCAAGTGGCATTAACATAATTCTCAAGAAAGACAACATGGATGAAGGCTCACACAGTGTGCATTTGTTGATTTGCCACTATTTTTCTTTTACCTTCTCTTTCCTTGCAAAGCTCTCGTCTCCTACCAATCTGCTTAATTCTACTAACTTTAAAGCCTTAATTATTATTTATTTAAGTATATCTGTGTGTGACTGCCATGCTACATGAATAATTACAACAAACTCAAAACATACCTCAGAAATCACTGTATGAATATAATAACTTACTATAAGAAAACAAGAAGCCAGGGGTCAGTAGCTCATGCCTGTAATTCTAGCTACACAGGAGGCTGAAATCTGATGATGTGGTTCAAAACCAGCCCAGGCAGGAAAGTCTGTGAGACTCCTGTCTCTTAACTTTCAGGAAAACAGGAAATGGTACTATGGCTCAAAGTGGTAAAGTGCTAGCTTTGAGCAAAAAAGCTCAGAGACAGCAGCTAGGCCCTGAGTTCATGCCCCACAACTGACTCCCCTCCCCTGTCCCCCGCCCCCAAAAAAAAGAAAAGAAAAGAAGGAAATGAGCTGTAATAAAACTTTGTTAAGCCAGGCGCCAATGGCTCACGCCTATAATCCTAGCTACTGAGGAGGCTGAGATCTGAGGATCAAGGTACAAAGCCAGCACAAAGCCAGCCAGGCTAGAAAAGTCTGTGAGCTTCTTATCTCCAATAAACCACTAGAAAACCAGAAGTGATGCTGTGGCTCAAGTGGTAGAGGGCTCACCTTGAGCTGAAGAGCACAGGGACAGCACACAAGCCCAGAGTTCAAGCCACATGACCGACACACACACGCAAAAAAAATAAAAAAACAAAACTTTGTTGTTGAAATTTATATCACTATCTCTTCTTGGTCTTGGTTAATAAGCTCAAATAAACACAACATTTAGGAAACTGATCCCAAAAGAGTAGGTTCTCTGAAGAAATTTTATAGATTTTACTGCTTTGTGTGTGTGTTTCTCTTTTTGCATGGGTTTTTGTTGTTGTTTGATGTGTATGTGTGCCATATGCCAGTACTAGGGCTTGAACGCAGGGCCTCACTCTTTTGCCTAGTTATTTCCTGTCCAAAGCTGGTGCTCTACCACTGGAGCCACATCTCCACTTCCAGTATTTTGGTGGTGAATTGGAGCTGAGTCTCTCAGATTTGTGTGCCTTGGCCGGTTCAAATTGAGATCCTCTAGACCTCAGCCTCCTGGGCAGTTAGGGTAACAGAGGTGAGCCACTTCATCACACTGTTACAGTTTTGATAAAAGAGGATCAATCATAGAAAGTTTGATCTCTTCCCATTTGTCCCATTATTTCCAGAAACTGCTGGATTTGGAGTAGAATGGTTTAAGTCCCCATATGACACAGGACATCCCCTAAGCCTCTGGCAAGAAACAAAACTTCTCCCAACAAATTTATCTTTTTTTTTTTTTTCTTTCTTCCTTTCTCTTATGCTGTTTTGTGGTGGTTAATTGGAGATAAGAGTCTCATGTACTTTTCTTCCCAGGCTGTTTTTTTTGTTTTTTTGTTTTTGTCAGTCATGGGGCTTGAACTCTGGGCCTGGGCGCTGTCCCTCAGCATTTCAGCCACTTCCGGTTTTCTGGTGGTTTATTGACGATAGTCTCACAGTCTTTCCTGCTCAGGCTGGCTTTGAACAGCAATCCTCAACAGCAATCCTCAGTTCTCAGCCTCCTGAGTAGCTAGGATTACAGGTATGAGCCACCAGCACCCAGCTAACATGTTTTTAATAGCACAAAAATATGGTACTTTTAGAAAGTCAGATGATATTCTCTTAAAATATGATAGCAGGAGCTTTTAAAGTAGCAAAAGGTATAAAGCTGAAGAAATCCTATTAGTTAAAGACTATAGGAGACAGTGAATGTATAGATCTTGCAAGGGGAAGTGGCACCGTAGCTCAAATGGTAGAGTTCAAACCTTGAGCTGAAGAGCTGAGGGACAGCGCTCAGGCCCAGACTTCAAGCCCCACAACCGATAAAAACAAAAACAAAGATCTTGCTAGGCAATACAACTTTTGGACCATACGATTTTTAGAGTGAGTACTCATAAACATGGTGGCAGCTTTCAAGAAACAGAATTTTCATTTGTACACTCCCCATGTGAAGGATATGGGTCATGTAGGAAAATAGGATAACCATTGCATGGCAGGCCTGGAAATCAACAGCTCGGGGATTATAACAGAACAGGCAAGAAAGTGCTACTAAAAGGTGTCTCAAAAATAAAAGAATAAATGAGCAGGGCACCAGTGGCTCACTCCCATAATCCTAGCTACTCAGGAGGATGCAATCTGAGCAAGGATCACTGTTTGAAGTCTGCTTGGACAGAAGTTGGTGAGACTCCTTTCCAATTAACCACAAGAAAAGCCAGAAGTAGAGCTGTAGTTCAAGTGGTAGAATGCCAGCCTTGAGTGAAAAAGCTAAGAGACAGCATTCAGACCCAAGTTCAAGCACCACTATCAACAAAAAACCATGTTTTTACTAGGTGCTGGTAGCTCATGCATGTAATCCTAGCTACTCAGGAGGGTAAGATCTGAGGATTGTGGTTCAAAGCCAGCCGGGCAGCAAGGTCTGGGCAGCAAGGTCCGTGAGACTCTTAATCTCTAATTAACAACTCAAAAACTGGAAGTAGAGCTGTGGCTCAAAGTGGTAGAGTGCTAGACTTGAATCCAAGAACTCAGGAACAGCGCCCAATCCATGAGTTCAAGCCCTATCACCAAAAAACAAAACAAAACAAAAACCAAATGGGTTTTTGTTGGTACCAATAGCTCACACCTGTAATCCAACTACTCAGGAGGCTGATGAGATCTGAGGATAATGGTTGGAAGCCAGCCCAGACAGGAAAGTCCCTAAGACTCTTGTTTTCAATAAGCTACTCAGGAAAAGCAGGAAGTGGTGCGATAGCTCAAGTGGTACAGTGCTAGCTTTAAGCAAAAGAATTCTCCCCGTCCTAGGAGTAAGCGGAAACTTGGCTGCAGCTTTCAGAAAGTTAAGATTAGATCTTGAGTTGGAAGAGCCACAGGAGAGTCTTACACCATTTACCCCAACTTGCTCAACCTATTGTTTCGGTTTAACATTTAATTTTTACCTTTGCTATGGTTTGTCTCCCTAGGCCTGTAACCCACTGATTCTACCTATGTTCAGTTCAGTTAATTTTCCGTAAAGGTTAGAGAAAGACATAACCTTGTTTTTTAAGGAAAGAAGAGAGGGTCACTTTATCCTTCTATTTTTTTTCAACCAATCTATTTTTATTTGTGCCAGTCCTGGGGCTTGACCCCAGGGTCAAGACCTGGGTACTATCTCTCAGCTTTTTTTTGCTCAAGGATAGCACTCTACCACTTGAGCTCTCCAGCTCCACTTCTAGCTTTTTGCTGGTTAATTGGAGGAGAGAGTCTGATGGACTCTATACTGGCTTTGAACTGCAATCCTCACATTTTGGCCCCCATCTCCTATTTTCTGAGTTTTTCTTGAATCATATAGTACCAATTTGTTTTTCTCTTATTTTTTTTTCTACTGCAAGTACAAGCAAGACTTTGACCCAGGGCCTGGGCTGTCTCTGATCTTTTTTGCTCAAGGCTAGCACTCTACCACTTATCATTACCTCATACTACTACAGTTACAACAGTCTACCAGCTGCTCAACTTCCAAAAGAAATGCTGTGGACATTTAGTGTTTGTTATGGTCAGCTGCCTCATTTTCTTTTCTTTGTTGGTAGAGGGTTTTAATTTATTTAACAACTAAAGCGCCATTTATTCATCTATCCCTTATTTATAAAAACAGGTTATTTTCCATTTTCGTCTATTTCAATATAGTGCTTTAAAGAATACTTTTGTATAATTCTTGGTCACAGGTACAAGAATTTCTCTAGGCCTGAAGGATAAACTGAGAAATGTAATTACTGTGCTAATTACATATTTTCTGTTTTTGTGGGTATAGTGTTGCTCTCCAAAATAGTAGTATCAACTTGTTTTTGTCATAAGCAACATATAAAATCTTTTTTCCCCTCATTCTTTTTAGCAATTGATGTCAGCTTTGACACTAATTTTATCTATTATTACACTGGCGTATAATGATTTGTCCTTGTTTTAATTTGAGTTAGGGGCATAGTATTTTAACTTCTATTATTGTTATTTTAGTGGAGTTTAGGGATACAGTGAATATTTAACTAAAATTTAACTTGAATTCAGGGCCTGAGCTGTCCCTAATCTTTTTTGCTCAAGGCTAGCATTCTAACACTTTGGACCACAGTTCCACTTCTGGTTAATTAGGGATAAGAATTTCATAGACTTTCCTGCCTGGGCTGGCTTTGAACCATGATCCTCAGATCTCAACCTCCTGAGTAGCCAGGATTACAGGTATGAGCCACCAATGCCCAGCAATCATACACATTTTTAAGGGCTACCTTAGGCACTACTTCTCCATGTTTCCTCTATAGCTCTCCTTGCATTAAATCCTAGATGGATTAACATCATTCAGGGCTCCACTAATAGGTATAAAGACACTTGAGGTCAAAGTCTACTGTCGAATGCATTTCTGTATCCACTACCTAGCAGAGTACCTGGCACATGGTACATGCTCATTAATATTAAGCCCCATTAAATTATGCTATAGTTGCTAAGGAAATAAATTTTGCTCCCAACAAGGTAATCATTTTCTGTTTCAATGATACTGGAGTTTGAACCCAAGGGTTTGTGCTCACTAGAAGTAGTCTACTACTTGGTCCATGGTCCTCAGTACCTCCTGCACTCCAAATAATCTTCTTAAAAAAATATTAGCATTGGGCTGGGAAGGTGGCTCAGTGGTAGAGCGCTTGCCTTGCATGCTCGAGGCCCTGGGTTCGATTCCTCAGCACCACATAAGCAAAAA